TGGAAGGTTTAATGACTTCCAAAAGCCGCTGCACTGTGTACTTTTTAACGTACGTTGCAACTTTTTCGGCCCGTCGCCATCTTGACAGTGAGTACCAGTCCTTCTCTTTCAGAATTTGTCAACTTTCCCCCAGGTCTCCAAGAGGTCAAAAAGAGATACAACTAGATACAACTGCATGGGGAGAAAAAACGGCTGGGTAACAGAAAAAGCACTTCCCACTTTAAATAGTGGGCACCGTGCGTCCCTAACAAGTCGCCCGAGGGATCCACTCCGGAAACGGGTTTAGGAAACAGGGAAAGGGTTCCCTATTGTACGTATAGGCCATTATAGCGAGCACATTCGTCCCCCCCCCTCCCCGCCCCCCAATCGTAATTGCCTCCTGCTTGTAGAATTGAAAGAGCACAAAGCATGCTTACCAATTAGACCCCAGGATTCCCATCATTTACTATGCTTGATTTGTTGATCAGAAATGTTTCTATAACTTCCTACTGTTATGAAGTATTTACGAGAGTTTTCTTGGTATTTAGCAGTCAGTGTTTTGTTCTTTTTTTTTAATATGTTCCCCGGCTTAAGATTTCTCTTGTCTAAAGGGTTCTTAATAATTAGAGTTCATAGTTTCTAATACCGATTTCTAGTTCATAACCCAAAGGTTGTTCAAGGTTTAGCCCACACTGTTAGCTACTGATAGTTCCTGCGTTTTAGAGTAGTGTCGTCTATTCTATGGATTTGTTAAACCCTAATGTCAGGGGTCTTTTAAGTAGGCATCCTTAAGGATAAAAAGATGACCCGGCTTGGATTTTGCCTACACCAAGGTTCCTGCTTTGGCTGCTTAGCCGGCAACCACACGGTCTTACCTCTAGTTTATTGGCATTGGCTCATTGGTACGGGGGGGGGGGGGGGGGGGGGCGCCCGCCATGATAGGGATAAGAGGGGGAGGGGGGGGGGGGGGGCGGCTGGTTGTCGCCAGGGCGCTAAGAAAGGGGGAGTACCTTTTGTATGGAATGAAAAAGATGGTGAGTGAGATTCTCTCGTTGGGG